TTTACCAGTTTATTATTCCAGTGGATAAACTCCGGACCGGTAAAATCCGGAATTTACCCTGGTTTTTTCCACCCACTGGATTTTTCCTGCCAACCCTGAAAAATTGGGATTGAACAAACAAAACGACACGGAAGCATTACCTAATTCTTATCTACAAATTTTGCAGCCTTCTTCTCCTTCCTAATCTTTTCTTCCCTTCCTTTTTCCTTTGTTCCTTTCCTATCTCTCTATTCCTCTTCCAATCTCATCCCCTCTCTTAACAAGATAATATAAAGCAACAGAATGTCGCTCACACTTGATAATACAATACAAGTAATTTGAATTGGTTTCAATTTTTATTTCTGATTGCATTTTGTTTCTTGCGAATTAAATTGACTCTTTAGTTGCTTTCCATTTACACCGATTCTCAGATAATTCTCACTTGTAACGTCATAACTCAGTTGAATATATAATATATATACGCGTTCCTTTTGTATTCTGACAAGTGAGATTCAACTGAGATTTTACCCATAATCTGCACAAGATCGAGACCGTGTACTTTAATGAGTCTCGTAAACTCATTTCAAAGTGAGGTTATAAACCTGTATTAACAGGTGATAATTTTTTATCAAAGTAAGCAAGTAGTGACGTCATTAATCTGAATATAAAATAGGTACTTAGCTCACTTCAAACTCAGTTTCACTTGTGTGTAAATGGAAAGCAACTATAATTGTTCCAATTACTAATTATATCCTGGTTTACCAATCGCATTTGAGGTATATGTACAATAATTTTATTTATTAATACACTTTAATATAGTTGTCTATTAAAATAAGGATTGTGTATACTATTATAATAATTTTAAATATAATGATCATTTATTCATTGTTATTTTAATTTTTATAATCTATTTTATTAATTTGATAACAGAATGTGTGCTGGTACATTTCTATTTAATGACTCATCATGTTCAATATTTTTATCATTATGGACTTATTGAGACTCTTATAATGGAAGAAGAATATAACCGATAATATTACCAGAACGGAAACCATTGCATTGTGCGGAAGGTAGATAGAATAAATACTACCAACTTTTTGTAACTATAAATTGTATAATTTTAACCGTTTTATCAATTTTGTCAAATTTACGTTTATATAATTTCTTTACACTGAGGATAATCTAATAATAAGGTCGAAACGTATATGTTCTAAGAATTTGAAATACACAAAAATCTGGCTTATAGCCCCTTCTTGTTATTTATTGTTTATTATTATTGAGTCATTATATAAGATTATTTTTATTACAAAATTTCTTATAATTTCTCATGGGAAAGTTATAAGGAATTATGATATTTCTTATTTTTTGCCGTTAAAAAACATATGAAAAAATATTAGAAAATATGAAAAACTTCTCATAATTTTTCATGAAATCGTTCTGAGAAAAACAGTTAATAAAAATAATTATAAAATTTCTGATTTTTTGGTGTTGAAAAAATACGAAATAATGTTGGAAAATCTAAAAAATTTCTCATAATTTCACATAATTACTTACAAATCGTTGATATGAGAAATTATGTACAATTTTATGAGACATATTGTGAGAAAAATGTTGATTAGAATATACGTAGACAATAAGAAAGGAGTACATCGATGAATACATACGCGCGCGCGCACACGCACACACGCACGCACGCACACACACACGCGCGCGTACACACACACACACACACACACACTTCCAAATGGCGTAACGGATAAGATATACTCTTTAAATCTCGTGGAGTGAAATCTCACTCGAAGAGACTGAAAATTTAGCCTGTCTTGAAAAAAGAGTGAAAATCTGCCTGTCTTGAACATGAGTAGACTTATTTTCACTTTTTTTTCAAGACAGGCTAAATTTTCAGTCTCTTCGTGGAGTGAGATTACACTCCATGAGATTTAGAGAGTACAGTACTCATAATTCTGATGCTCCAGATTCAATTCTTGGTATGTAAAAAAAATTAAAATGTCATAAAAAATTTATAAAAATTGTTTCAGATTTACATAGGTACTCTTGATAAAATACAATAAATTAAAAAAAAGATTTTATCATATTTCTTTAAATTTTGTTTTAAATAAATTTTTAGAAATAATTATGAGACGAATTATTAAGTTTATGAGAAAATACGGAGAATGAAATACTTTTTATAATTGCATGAGAAAATATGAGAAAGTGATCATCCTATGAATAAATATGATAAGTTATCTGAAAAATTGTAACGATTTATGAAAAATAATGAGAAAAATTATTATATAATAAGATATATAATATGATATGAGAAATGAAATAATAAGTTGGCGGCTGAGTACGCTCGGCAGGACAGAGTTTCCTCTATCCTGGGATTATCCCGTCGGCTAGATGCAGGAGACCGAACGCCAAGGTAGAGCACTCTCTATCACCTTGGTTTGCGACGGAATCGGACAGAAGCGGAAAATAGTCGCAAGCGCGAGCAACAATTCTCTGACTTACACATATATGTATACGAATTGTTACTTCCGCTCGTATTGTTCCGATCTTACTCGACGATCTTCGTCGGCCGGCAATACGAGCGGGAAGGATACCGGTCGGCGGTACTTTGGCGGAATTTTCGGGTAACTCCGGCGAAGCGGCTGTACCTGTGAATTATGCTTTTGATTTAAGTGCGGGCGCACCTCATCACGCGTCCTCATCACTGTCATCAACGCAGAGTTGATGCAATGGCATCTGGCCGGATGTTTGGCCGGGAACAATGCATGTCGGGGTGCATCGCATCGTTACATCTCCCCCCTCCTTAGGCTGTGCCTGAACTTAAAGGCGTGTTTACTTCTTCTTAATCCACCTTACGGTGCCATTTCCATTAAATCGAATATGCCAGCGGATTCCCCCCGAATACTTATCTTGTACTGGCGCGAGACGTGCGCGGCAAAGTGCGGGACGTTGACGACGTGTCCAGGCTCGACCTCCACAGGAATCGGCGGGGGTGGTAGTGGGCCTACTGGACGTGCTGGCTGCAGTTCTGGGCGGCTGGGTTTCACCTGTCTTTTCGGCTTCCTCGGTGGTAGCGGAGGCGGCGGGATGGTCAGCTAGGCCAACTTTTTTCTTCCTTGCCGATCTGAGGGCTGCACCATGCCTACGGTCGGCACGTGTTCCCGCAGCGGTGGATAGGCGGCTGCTGGTTCCGTGACGGAGACCTCGATTCTAGCCGCTTGACTTGTGCCCGGATTGGCCGGATTGTATTCCTCTTGGAGGAATTTTTTAAACGCGTCGAGAAAATTGCCTGTATTCGTCGACATCTTGCTATCAAGATCAAGTGACGAGTCTTTCGCTCTTACTCGTAACATGCTTTTGTTGTTATTAGTCATCGTCTTTGTCCTCGGTTTCGTCACCGCTTTCGTCTTCTTCGCTCATGTTTACGTCGCTTTCGGTATCGGTCTCGACGTGCGGGGCAAGGGCGGGTTTTTCTGACTCGTTGTTGGAGGGGGCGTCGGGGTGTTGGAGGAGGCGAGCTTTAAATCTTTAATATGAACGTTCCTGACCCATCGGCCGCTTTGGTCGCGCAGGTTGAAGATGACGGATGATACGACGCGCCGTACCTTTAAGAGGCCCTTTATATTTCGGTCAATTTGGCGTTGAAGACCGTTGCTTTATTGGATAGGGAATATTCTTATTTATATATTTGATCTCCTATCTGCGGTTTCCACGGCCTTCGTCGTAAGAGAGAGTCGTAGTATTTCTGCTGCTTTTGAAAGGCTTGTGAAAGTGCTTTTGAAAGGTTAATTCTCACCACCTCGTATCACCTTTTCCAGGTGATGGCGGGTGGTGTCAGGCGTCTTTACGTGCGTTTTTCGCGTTCACAGGTGACAGCAATTCGCGCCCTAGATTGATGTACGCCGGTGTGTATCCGGTAGCGTCATGAGTTGCGGAATTGTACGCGAATTGCAGTTCGCGGATGCGCTCATCCCATCTCCAATGATTTCGGTCGACATATTGCGCTATCATCGTCTTGACAGTGCGGTTCGTTCGCTCGACGGGGTTACATTGCGGCGTATATACATGTGGCGGATTATGTGAGTGTGTGTGTGTGTGTGTGTGTGTGTGGGGCGAGGAGTTTCTCGAGTTGCGCTGACTTAAGCCCAGTTCCACAACTCACGGTTAACTCTTAACCGAAGTTCAATTTGTTTCTCATCTGTTTCCAATTCGAGAATTGGAAAGAGACAATGAATAAGTTGAACCTCGGTTAAGAGTTAACCGTGAGTTGTAAAACTGGGCCTTAAACTGCGTCCCGTTATCGGATATTATAATTTCGGAGCATCCATGTAAAATAATGCATTCGGCGATAACTTGCGTCACCGCCGGTGCGGTGGCGCGTCGCAAAGGTCGTAGTTCCACCCACTTGAAAAAGCGGTCCTACATATTAAGGAGCCAATCATTGCTCTTTTTCGATTTCGGCAATGGACACAATAACACATGTTACCACAAAGAATTAAAGAAGTAATAATATCAAATAAAACAATTTAATTTATCGAGGGGGGTATATATCATTTATTTAATTATTCTTTGATAAAACAATTCTCTGAATTGAATGTTTAATAATTTTTATTGTATTTAAATTGTAGACTTTAAATTGCTGCCAATATATTTTTCTTTAGTTGTAAAGATTATATCTATTTATTCTAAACGATAAAATATAATGTATACGTGCTTCTTATAGGCGTGAGTTACGAAGATGCTTTGAGGGATGGTCTTCTGCTCTGCATGCTCATGAATAAATTGCAGCCTGGCCTGATCTCGAAGATCAATACTTCCGGTGGAGATTACAAGATGATGGATAATCTTAATCAGTGAGTATTACATAATGAATTTGAAGAACAATAAACACGATCAAGAAAATACCAGAAATCATTTACAGAGTATAGATGAACAACACTGTAATGTGATAAAAACGAAATAAAACTGCATCTCTCCACTAAATATTCTCTGAATAATTAACATTAATTTGAGTTTAAGATTAACTGAAGTAGTACCAGTTTCGCTGTAAAAATTTCTTGTCAATAATGAGCTGCTTTTAACAACAGAGAGAAATGCTCCATCTCATAAATATCAAATTAATTTACTCGTATTTGTAATTAGTAACTTCTTTATTGGTATTTATTAGGCTTTATAATACTTCGTAAGATTCAATATTTGCTTTTTTACTGTAAAAAAAATGAATTTTAATAATTTTGTTTGAATAGTTCGAAGTAAATATTTACTAAATGCAAGCATATATTTATTTGATATAAAAATTATTAATTTGATTTAACTATCATTTTTTCTTAAATAAATATTTATTTATTCTAAGTAAATGTTTGTACTATTCAAAGAAATGTGCATTAAGATTTAATGATTTTTTTTCAATGTAACAAAAGATATTCCGCGTCAGCGAGTCTCGACGCAGATAATTTTCTCATGGATGATGTGGCGCGGCGGTGTGTCCCGCTTCGGCGACGCGCCTTCTACTTGTTTATGGTCCCCTAATCCACCGTCGACTTTACGCAATCGACAGTGTTTTGCGTCAGTTTCTCGACTACGGAATATCGACAACGCCGATCAACGACCGTTCGGACCGTCGTCGCGAGTCGAGAGATTGTTGACCCTCTCGCGAGACTCTCTCGTTTCGAGAGTCGCGCAATATCACCAGCCGGAGCGATTGGGCGCGAAACGCTCCGGTGATGATGGATCCCCCGGCTCCTAGTGCATCCTGCTCTCCTGGCAGCCGAGAACCGACAAAGTCTGAGGTCGGGACCATCGACTATACATTGGAGCGCGATGAAAGTGAAAACACCGATAGATATATGTAGGCGCGTAGCATAGCCGTACGCGCATTACCGAACGCGCGGAAGACAGAAAGCCATGAATTTTTACGTCACGTCACGTTGCTCATGTTTTTTTATACATATTAATAAATCTTTGAATTATATTTGCACATAAAATCAGCGCAGTGCAAATTCATCAAGTGATGATTAGTTTAGAAGACCAAATGTTCATTAAAAATTGATCAAAGGAATTTTTAATGATCAGCGCAATCGCAGTTTCCCATGTCTTGTAAATTCTATAATGTGTGTACATCTTCCTTTCCGGGCTTTAAATGTTCTTTTATCTTCAAGCTTTTTGCGTCGCTAGTTTTCACGATGGTATAGGCAATAGCTTGGCACAATATACATATGTATGTATAATATGTATATCTGCGACGTGACCGCAACCCGAAAATAGGGTATCCAAGTCGAACGCTTGTAGCACATTGCTACAATCCTGATGAAGTATTTGCCTGCGAGGAGGTGATTTTAGGATAACGCAAAAAGAAGCGCACCCTCGGATGGTTCGTAAAATTGCGCTTTTCCGCATTCTCCCCTTTTGTCACTCAAGATAAAAGGGATTCGCTTCCTTTGGTTGCCGGATACTGGCGTCTGATGCCCGCAAACGTGATGGTTCTTCTCTCTTCCGGCCGTGGACACTCGTAGCTACATGGACCATCTCCTTCCTTGGGAGAGATGCGCGCGTTCTTCTTCTTCTTGATATACTCTGAATTTCCAATCCACTTAAAATGGAAGTCCGATATTTCTTGTGTCATACGGCAAGTCTTTTCAAGTCTACTGATTGGTCAAGACAGAGAGATCCAAGAACTTCTCTGTCTTTCAATCAATTAATAAGTTTAAAAAGCCTTACTGTATATGATACATGAAAAATTGGTCTAGAGAGATCATAGTATCATGCGTAAAAGATGAATTTAAAATGATCAATTACATAGTACATAGTTATGAAACTGACCAATCATAGCTATTCCTCTGAAAAATGACTGTGGATTGGCCAGTTTTATATAACTACGGATGTTATTAAACCTGATTAGGCGTGCCATGTAAACGTAATCACTTGTTTAGTCTAGCAAAGGAAGAGGGGAAGAAAGCCCTACATCTTGAAATCTTCAAAGATGAGAATATGGAGTAATAACCTGTAATCCCACCACCGCGGGTTCGCCAAACGAAACGTTTCCACTTACGCGTTTCGGTCGCATCGCGCACGTTCTGCAGCTCCTGCACTGTCTCGCGCTTCTCGCCATCAAGTCAGGCGCATTGCCGTGCGGCGTGCGCATGTCGCGCTTCTTCGGCGTTTGGCGCGTTTTGAATGTTTAAGAGCGCGTCCCGTAGGTAGTGGGGCGAACGATGCGCAGCGCGGCCACTCCGCGTTACTCCCTTTCTACGCGAGCAGTATGATCCCGGTGAAGGTGGATATACCGCCACCACCGGACCACCGTTGCCGCTGACGCGCGAAACGTACCGTGCGTCGCGTCTTCGCGGAACGCACGGTAAGATCTGCACATGTATGTACATACGTACCGCTGCCACGGCGCGGCGAGGAGGGATTCGCGTGTTGCAGCCGGCAGCGCAGCGCAGCGCCGAGTCCCCTCATGCGACTCTGATAAACGGACCGCTCGTAAGCACTGACCTGCCTCACGCTCGACGAGCTCGGCGAGCGCAACAGGTTGCGGACACACTTGATCGATGCAAGGCCATGGATTCTAGCGAGATAGCCTTGCGGGAACACGACATAATATAATGTCTATTTTTAAATTCCTATTTCTATTTTTTCCTCTCGCTCTTCTTCCGACATGAATTTCACACGAGACGTACGATACCTCGCGATTTTTATATTATTTATCCAATAGTTGTTTTATTAGTATATATAACAAATTATTAATACATGATTATATATTTTGATCTATCTCATATTATGTGAATCTAAATAATAATATGTTTATATTTATATACCACAAATATTTCATATTTTTAAAATATATAATTAAATATACGTATGATTATTCAATATATGTATATATTTGAATTCGCAATGTAAAATCCTATGCTTTTCGCTCTCTTAAGGCTCCCTCTGACTCTTTCTCTTCTTATAATTAAATAGAGAACTTTGTCCCTTCTCTTGCATATCAGAGTGCATATTATAAAGGCACATTTTGATTTTTCTACTCTTTCGCGATGTTGTCGTTTAGATTGTGAAAAATTAAGTCTCACATTTAAGAAGGATACACGTTTCTTTTGTTTCTTGAATTGGTTTAACATCTATCGTACACGATAAATCGCTTCGTTATTCAGTACCTCATATGCGGAAGACGCATCGGGCGTCAGGAACACATCAGAATGAGCAGGCTGGTATATGTGATATGTTTGGCGTATGCTAAATACTTCCAACGTGTCAGACGTTTTCTCGTACTACTATGTCTTTATACATTTACCATCTCGCAAAATATTCTATACTTTCACGTTCAAATAGAGATTCCTTTCGTTCTGCCAGTGCGAGATACATAGATTGAAAAATTTGAATCTTCCATGAAAAATTAGAACTAGATATTAAAGGCGATTGTACGTGAGGCCCTGATAATGCGTAAATGCTTCTTTTACATTTCATTGTTCCAATTTTCGCCTTCTACACTGAAAAAAAAATATCTTAATTTCAAAGAAATATGGGTGCATTCGTTTACGCAGCGGTTAGCGCAGATTTGGTCAAACAAAAGGAAAGTGAAAACGAACATTAAAGAACATATGGCTAATATTAAAAAATTAAAAGATTCACGTACTGTAATATCAGAACAGATCCTTGGTTAATCCTTGTTTAACATTCGGTGAACAACAAGGATAAAGTAAACTTCTACGCTAACCGCTGCGTAAACGAATGCAGGGTTGTTTCTTTGTTCCAATTTTTATTGCCAGGGAGTAATAAATAAATTACACGACACTACAAATCCAAGTGTGTAGAAAAAGTAATTTTAATATGTGTGTTTTTTAGTTTTTCGTGTAAAAATTACATTATACTGCACATTTATATCCATTTTTGTATTGTATGCAAAATATAGTGCGTTATTTTTACGCGGGAAACTAATTACACACATAATATATTAAAGTCACTTTTTACACACTTGCAATATATGAATTTGTAATAAAGTTGCGCAAATTCTCATATTTTTTATACGCTCTCGTGAGTGTTTGCGTGAATAATTATCGCATTCGCGATAAGCGATAGACGTAATTGACGGGGCGTCGCCGTCTTCAACGTTGGAAACGGAAGATGATTCTGCTATCCTGTTATACGGGCACACGCGACACGTCATTTCTGCGGCACGAAGAACAAAGGCCATCGCCTTATCGCACTTTCAGCTGGTTGCATATATCACAATCCGTTAATTACCAAGCGGCGATAATTAGCGACCGAACAATAGAAGCGCGTCACTAGCTCAAGACGACGCCCAGGCAAGCAGCCGTATAAAGGAGTTGGACGTAGTGTGCTTCTCTTTTGTTTCTTCCCCGCCTTTGTCTCCCCTCCGACTCGCTATCGTCCTCGACGTGATTCCACGAGCCCCACAATTCCTCGTCAAAGAGATTCTTCGATATCTCTTCGACATTAATTTTCCAAAATATTTCATTGATTAAATTGAATATCTAAAATTACGCAAATTTTTTTATCTCTCTCTATTATAAGTTTATATAATATACATTTGAATTGAAGAGATGTATTTTAATTTCCTTTTCAGGTTCCAAAAAGCCTGTGTAAAATACGGAGTACCCGATGTTGATCTCTTCCAAGCTGTCGACCTGATTGAACGTAAAAATATCGCTCAAGTGACAAACACCATCTTCGCTATTGGACGGGCGGTAATTAATTAACGATAATCTCGTTATTTTATTACTTTTCTACTAAATTTTTTACACTATTCACGCTTTTACATTAAAATCTGAAGATTCCTTCAAGAAAGGCTTTTTGATAAATATATGTCACATTTCATGTATTTTGTTTTATAAATTTGAAGAAGTACTTATGTAGATAACATTTGTCAAATAAGCATGCACATTACGATTGTATTGCTTTCTTAATCATGTTAAATAAATAAAGAAGAAAATGTAGATACTTTTTGTACTAATTTACAGACGTATAAGCATCCGGAATGGCGCGGACCCTGGTTAGGTCCGAAACCGGCGGAGGAGAACAAGAGGGCTTTTACGGAGGAGCAGCTAAGGGCTGGTGAAGGACTCATTGGCCTGCAAGCTGGTACCAATAAAGGCGCTACACAAGCCGGGCAAAGCTTCGGAGCTACGAGAAAGATACTTCTTGGGAAATAATTTAATAAAGTTTACACTTTTTTATCGCTGTTAGAAATATTCTGTTTGCGTAACGCGACCTTTTGAATAGATATACGTACGTATGTTTAGAAATATTGTATTTAATTAAATGTTCAACGCTTTCGTAAAAAGGAACAAAGAAGATTGTATAATTCTTTGTGATTAGAATAGCCGTCAGTATATCTGTTGAAGTTAAGGTAGGTAGTCCAACAGTGAACCAGTAGTACACTATGAACCATTGCGATTTATCGCAATAAATGCAACGTTATCAGATTGTATTGTTATCATGCAGCGACTCGCATTTGAACCCCTCCTCGGCTCCTCAATTGACTGGCAGATCGCTCCAAAGACGGCCATGTAATGTCACATTTTAAGAATTTTGGGTTGTAAAGTAAGTTTTTTTCGTAAGTTTTACGCATTTTTTATGCTTTTGTTGTTATACCTATCATTTTTTTCATTGTGCAATAGTTTTGCGTGCACATTTGGCTTTATTATTCTGTAAGCAACTTTTTTTGTTACATTATTTTATTACATTATTTAGGAGATTATCGTGGAAAAAGTTAGGTGGTCTACAATGAATCATTTTGACGTGAACAATGAACCATGGTATATTGTAGACCACATAACCTTTTTTACGATAACCTTCAAAATAATAATTTATTGTAACAATTATTTAGAATACGGCCCCTCCCTCCACTTAAAGTCTCAATAAAAATGTACTCATTTGACGCGTTTTCACTCAAAACGAAAGAAAAACGCGATGGTCAGCCTTTTACGAATTCTCACCACCTTATAATTATCTATTTTATAAATAAACATTTTAAAATATAGCAAAACTAAAATAATCCCAACAATTTGCAGTATAAAACATATGTAGTTCATTATTAAAAATAGCATGATTTATTGTGTAACACCCCTTGTACACAATGAACAATTTTCCGTTTTTTTTAAATAATCGAAATTGTGACTAAATTTCACGGATAACTTAAAAGTTATTATTTACAGTATGTAGTCAACTAAATTCATAAACTGTATGTAAAAATTCAGACCTTTAATTCAATAATTGAGAGAAATACGAGCCTCTGAAATTTACGTAGTTCATTGTTGGACCACTTATGCCCGTTTCAATATAGTTTAACTTTAATCTCAGTTCAACTAACTCTTCATCTTTTTCTAGTTTTAAGAATAAGAAAAAGATGAAGAGTAAGTTGAAAACCGAGGTTAAAGTTAATCCACATTGGTAGAAACGGGCATTACCCTACGCGAATAAATATCGACGCATAAATCTGTTTAATGCTAGACGTGTTTTTATTATTTTGTGTTTATGTTTTATTTTTATTTAGCGCGTTCACTTCTAACGTGAGTGTATCTGACGAAATGTATTTTATGAAGTAATCAATATATATTAATAGACAAATATACGACAGTATGTCGAGAGGACTAAAGTTTTTATTTTATATCTTGATGCGTCTCACAAGTAGAGATCCCGAGGCAAACACTATTCTCTCCCACCGCGAAATTCCTAGAGCGAGTCTTGTCGCTCTTGCTAGTTTCCTGGCAGCTCGCTCGGCTCCCGACAATCGTCTTCAGCCGCGTGTTCCGTGTCGGTGCACGCGGAGACGCACGTGCACGTCTCCGGTCCGCGCGCGCGTCACGTCACAGCACACCGTCGCGTCATCGCTCCGCATACACTCGAGGACTCGAGATCACCGCGTGCGACTAGTATGTACGTGCGTGCCAATGTGTATAAGGCACGGCGATGTCGGCGATACGCGCAACACGCGCGTAGACCGCAAGCGGAGCGCGTATGCGAACGTTGAGCCTTCGTACGTGACAGGGACGACGAGTGGGCGTGACGTGTACGTACACGCGTTACACGCATTCCTTGACCGGTTTCTACACCGCGAGGCTCCCCGAGGATCAGGCGAGCATCCTAAGATGAAACGTACCCGGTGCCGGTTCCCGCCGATCCGAAATTACACCGTTTTTTTCCTCCCTCTCCCTCTCCCTCTCTCTCTCTCTCTCTCTCTCCGTACGAGCTGTCGCGTTTTGTGCATAGGTATATCTACTTTCTAAATTCATTGAAGTTTTAAAATAATCGAGAATAATATATAATTCAATTACTATATATCTTTTTAGGTAAAGTATTAAAAAGAGCATGCAGTCTATTTTATTAATAAATTGTTAATTATCTTTACTTTCTAAAAATAAAAAATTTTTTTTAAGTTATCTTCTCTATTGTATGAATATTTTTTGCATTCACTATAGGTAATATTTCTCTGAGCTTAACGTTATAATGACTGAATAATTATAAGTGGAGCGATACAATGGCTGTCAAGCAAAGATTTAAACTGTATGATATCAATATTTACATTTTAGTAAAGCACACCACGCATCTGTTTTCGGCCTTCCTTGGGTATGTTTCTCGGCAGTTCTTCACGAAGTTCTTGTATCGTATTTAGTAACACAGAGTTTGTGATGTTGAGATGACATAATGGCAACACTGAGTGATGACTTATGCAGATCTTTAGTGCAACATTATACTTTATTAGAGAATTCTAAGGTAGAATGCAAAATTTGTAAAAAACAAATTTCCATGGTAAATTGGAATAGCTTAATATTACATTCAAACAATCATAAAACGATTGAAACATCGTATAAAGCGAGATCACATAATTCGATATGGCAATATTTTAGTAAATTTGAAGGATATGCGAAATGTGTTATTTGTGGTAGTATTATATCTGCGGCGCATAGATTAAAATACCACTTGGAAAGGAAACATCCAGAGATAGCAAATTTAGTAAACGCACACAAACACACAATAAAGGAAATTACTGAATATGACTTAAACCCATATTACACATATTTTAGCAAATTTAAGGTGCAATGCAAGCTGTGTAATAAAATTTATTCAAAATGTAATATCGGTAGACATTTGGAAAGAATACATTCACGTAATACAATGAGTAAAAAGAAAATTTATAACTGGATATGGCGATATGTCAAAATAGAATCATATGACAAAATAAAATGTAATATTTGTGATCGCACTTATACATTAACTTCGGGATCAACACAAAACTTAAAAAAAACACTTGAGCAAATGCCACAACATAAATGCACAGTCAAAGATTGATGAAAATACTAAAGAAAATATAACAGATAAAGCAATAATAAGACAATTAGAAACTAAAAAAGACGTAGTAGATGCAAGTATTTATCAAATCGTTTCATGTTCAAAAATTGAAGAAAATGAAGAAAGAAAATGGAGGTAAATTTTATAGATATTACTATTCCTTTTTTTTATTGAGTCCTTCATATAACTTTTATGTACGATAAATATGTAAAAAGATCAGATATTTAGCATTTGTTTATTATTAGTATTTTTCAATTAAAATATTAATATAACAAAACTAAAACTCTTAAGAAAACATTTGATTATAGATTTCATCTGGTAAATGCATGTTCTACGTCCGATGAAAATACTAAAGAAAATAAAACGGATAGAGGAGTGAAAGAATTAATAATTAGAGAAGACATAATAGATATAAATTTTCAGCAAATCATTCTACATTCGAAAATTGAAAAAAACAAGAAAAAAAACTGGAGGTAAATTTTATAAATATTATTGTTTCTTCTTTATTTTGAGTCCTTTGAGAGAATTTATCGCTTATATTTTATATTGAAATATATATATATAATCAATAAAATTAAAATTCCTAAGTATTTGAATACGCGTGGGCAAAGATTTTTTTATTCAAATAGGAATTTTGTTTAAATTTGAACAAAAAATTCGATTTCTCGCTTTATTCTATTTAAATAAAAACCTAGAAAAAATAGTTTCCATGTAATAATTGAATAATGCTTTTGATTTAAATACGTTTCTAATAATACTAGTTATTCCGATACATTTTTTGGTTTTATTAATCACTTTATATAAATCTTAAAATTGTGAGTTATTGAAATTTCAGCTCAACAAACAGCAGTTACATAAATTTCCATGGACAGATTCTGGTAACAGAAGGAGATAAAGTATACACCGTACTTTAATGATTTAAATGACTTTGTTAAGTGAAAAAATTATTTTTATACTGGCAAGCAAGCCCGCTTTGTACACTTCTTACATAAGAAATCAAGCAGTTTTATGAATTAAACATAAACAAGTATTTTCTAGTTTCATATTTCTATCTATTATTTTGTCTTATGTGACTTAATCTAATCTTATGTAACACTAATTTATTGTTATTAATTATAAGAATAATATTTCAAGGACACTGTATTAATAAAACAATATGTTAATTTAATTTTGGTTAAATGTGATTTTCTATTTTATGTATAATTATTGGATAAAATAATGTATGTATAAAATCATGTATTCTTATCAATAAAGTAGTATTTTTTCATAAGAAGCATGGTATTTATTTATTAGAAATCTATAATGAATCAAAATATTTAAATAAGTAATAGAATGCGGCAATGTATCAGTGGCACAGTCGGTTACGTAATTGTCCCAATGTCTAATCATAATTAGAAAATTGATATGCTGACGGAAATATTAATATAAATAGATATTTAATAAAAGACAAAAAACTAATTCAAATTGATCTTTAAGGTAAAAAGCATTTGAGACTAATATTAATTTAAACAAATAAAGTTTTGTGTTCGAACATACGATATATATATAGAGGTACTGTCCGATCCCAATGATTGGACATGTACTTATGTCCAGACATTTATACAACACTTTATGTATTTAAGTTAATATTATAGCGTTTTCGGCCCGATCGGGTTTGCACCAACCTGGGTTGGATTAATCTTTCCTATTGGTTGACGTCACCCGCTCTACCAATAGGAGAGCACAAAACGCCATTAATCCAACCCAAGTTGGTGCAAACCTGGCCGGGCCAAAAACGCTATTAGTCTCAAATACGCTTTTTAAAACGTAATATTATAATTTGATTGTAATCTTTAAATGTAATTAATTTATAATACAATAATAAAAAAATATTTGAGATTAATAATAATATTAATTTTGTGTAAGTGTGTCCGGACATAAGTACCTGTCCGGTTACTGGAACGTTTGCCTTATATAACACTCATGTAAATATTAGAAAATATCTTATTTTTATTTTTTTATGTTCAGAAATGTTTCTTTTATGGAATGTGATATCAATTTTTAATTTCGGACTCAGTAAAAAAATCGCAAAACTTAAGAGTAGCCGTACAGGCTTAACCTAATAACCGTGGGTTATCTTAGCAATAGCAATATTGATCGTACAGGCAGGCCAGTTCTTGGGGACCCCCTGGCATAGGATGGTATCATGGCTGAGGAGCAGACTCCGCGCCGCGTTCGTACCGTTCGTGGTCCGAACGCAGCTTCGACCTTCGTCGGGCAGCCTCCCACCGTCTTATGTGCTCCTCTTGAAAGGGGAGCGCTGCGGAGTGGCCGCTCCGCGCATCACTGCGCCCCACTATCCTTCCACGCACTCGCACTCGCGAGCCGCGCGCGTACAAACACTACAAACACGCCGCGGGCCGCGGATCTCTCAGCTGCGGTCGCTGCGGATCTACGGTCAACCCGTTCTGTCCTTCCATCTCTCTTCTCCCTTGGCTACGGTGGATCAGAACCGCGTTATAAATAGAGAGCGAAAGGGTCATTAGACCAAGTCGGAAATCCCAAGAGAGGTTTCGTCTGATTAATTGTAATTTGTCCAATTATTTGATAATTTGAAATAAGAAAGAGTTCTCAATACCAATATTGCAATGTTTTTCTAAATTCTGAAACAATTCATTATATACCTACTTTCGTATGTTTCTCCTCTTTTATTTCCTCAAAGCTAGACTATTCTAATTGTGATCGAAGGCCACGCCAAGACGACACCAAGAGGCGACGCTTGAACGAATGATAGAGATAGTTTGAATAAGCGACGAATGAATTAGCTGCATTATGTATAGCTGTCTACTTAACACAGATTCGCAGACAAACGAATTCGAATGCACTAT